TTCCTCTGCCCATGCAGCCCACATCGTCCATCTAATTCAGGCCAAGGATCATGTGGTATGGTCAAGCCTCACTATCTGTGCTGATCTGGGGGAGCAATGGTTAGAATTAGTGAGTGTTCAATTAGAAGTGTGTTCCGAATACTCACCACCTCTGGGTAGCACAAGCGAGAATTGGGGTGTGTGCGATGATGTTTATCATTTCCGTGCTGTGGGTGTGTTGTAATAGGCTGCCCAAGATCTTCAGAAGAAGGGCAGCCTTGAAGGGGTGTGTGGTTGAGACTCAGTTACCACCCTCTCTCTCCCTGCAGACTGGTCGACTTTGCATTCTGGGAAGAACAAAGCCAGGCTTCAGGATTCCTAGCCTGTAACTATTCCAGAATGTCATTTAGCCAGTTGTTAATGATTACCATCACCTTCCTTAGTAAGTAGGCTCACAATGACAGGAATATGACACAATCAAAGGGGCCTAAATTTTATATAATGCTCTCTGCATTTGTAGGAAACATGCAAAAATGTCTCCGGTTCTGATGTTAAACGTAAACCAATGAGCAAGGTGGAAGGGTTGGGAGTGTGGCTCAGTGGTGCTTGCTTAGCATATACAGGCCCTGTTTCAGTCCCCAGCAAAAATGAGGTGGAACTGCAACAGATAGCTGTCTTGAGTCCTTTGCAGAAAGAAGAATCATAGGTTACTTAGGTGAAGTTCTTAAATGTCCCCTTTAGCTTTCTAAGTGTGGTGACACGCATCATTGTTACAGCCCAGGGCTGCCCCTCAGAAACTCAGAAACTGATGTTACTTCAGACTATTCAAGGAGAGGAGGGCTCTCTGTAGATGAGTAATGGGGTGTCGTGCCCATGATTCTAACTCTTTATATCTAACAGAAGGACTGTTCACAATGGATACAAAGGCCACACCATGACATTTTCCCTGGAGGAAAGCAATGATAAAATTAGGGGTGTGCCCATGTATGCAGAAGAGGCGGAGGACAGCCTGTAGATAAGCAAGTTCATTCTATCAGAATTTAATCTCCAGCCCTGTCTTCTAATAGAGCTAGGATAAAACTGTCCTCTGTAATTGAGTGTGAGCCAAATCCTGCCACCCCCCCACAAAAAAAAAATTAACCAGAACTTGTCAATAGCGAGGTGACTGCATAGAGCCGGCTTTGGCTGAATGAGGCGTGTCTGGGTTGAAGAGCAGGCTGTGCCAGGATAGCATTCTCTGGCAGGAGTCCGAAGCCCTGGCACCCACACTGAGAAGATGGAGGGTCTCTCCAAGGGCCGCCTAGAGACTTGCCTCTCTCTCCTCCACTGCTACAGCGTAGGTCTGGGGTGGGTTTCTGGTTGTTTGTGTGTGCATGCTGTGGAGCTGAGAGCTGGCAGATGGCTGGCATGTCACAGGGAGCTCGTCTGGGGGAGCAGGCAGCCAAAGCTTTTCAAATGCTTCAGCCCTGAGTGAGCAAGGAATGGGTTTACCAGTGGGCATTCCTGCTCCCCAGCAGGACATCATCTTATGCTGTTGCTTCAGAAATGTTAGAGAGAATTTATTTTTGGTGAATTAATCATTAAGTAGAGTAAATATCTATAAAATTCCAATATAAATGGTGTCTAAAACTTAAAAGAACAGTCTACAGGCGAAGCGCCAACATTTCTTTTTTAAACAAATATTTATGATAACAGCTAGCATTTTAAAGTCAACCAGAAACTAGGCTTGATTCTGTTTAATATTTTGTAAGATTGGACATCTTAAAACAAGTCAATAATGTTTATATTTTATAGCAATTCTGTGTTTATTCAAAACCATAACTCTACTGTGATGTTAATGGAATGACTTTATATGGCTTTGTGTGGGTTCAAGTGCTAATGACCACATTTCAAATTAAAACAATATTTTTGCTGATAGAGATAGATACTTATACAAAATATGAAAGACTAGAAAATTTTACTGACTGTAAAGTGTTTTTTTTTTTCAAGAAAGAAAATTTAGTGTTGTGAACAACTGAGTCATTTCTGTGAGGGTTTAAGGTAGTTGTCTGTACTTCTGAAACTGGATTCTGTGCCTATGGGATTTTGGAACAGCCTAAGCTACCTTTTAGCTTGATATGTGTGCTAGAACAATTTTCCTTCTCATGTTTTGTGATCTGTAATAAATTCAGGGTGCTGTGCTTCAGCTTCATTTCAATTTTAGTTGGGCACCTACGTGTTGGTCCCCTGTCCCCAGGTCCTCCGCAGGAGAGTGAAGCCAGCCCCACTCTTAACCTGGTACGCTTTGCAAACTAGGATCATGGTTTCCAGACCCTCCGCTCTCACATCTGGCAAGAGTGACGCCTTCTCTCCTCCTTTGGTGTCTCTTTAATAAATATGTTGTCCTTATTTGTTTTGGGAAGTGGTACCCCGAGCCGCCTCTCAACCCTCTCCATGATTTATGTTGCAAACAAACCCTCTGTCCTGTGTCTGTTTACTGCCCATTCTTGTCAACTGAATCCTAATCTTGTGTAACTCTGAAGATGTGCTGGAGACAGTTTCTGTTTTCATTATGCAACTGTTACATGTGTATTTCAGTGAAATGTCAACTCATCAACAGAGGATGATGTTAAAAATTATCCAAATAAATAGTTTTCTATTTCTTTTAATCATACCTAGTCCAGTTAGTTAAATGACAGTAAGACTGTTGTTTAAGCTGGGGAATGTTCCTGGCCTCTATGCCTTGGAAAATATGCATGGATGTGCACAGTTTACCTGGGAGTGTTGATCACAGTGAATATAACCCATGTTTATTTTGTGGACACAGCAGCAGGCATTTCAAGCATGTCTCTTCTTGTTTGAACCTCAAATATGTAACAGATCTTTCTCCCAAAATCAGACAAGGGGACTGTCTGATTTATTGTCTCTTGATAATTGCACCCTAGAAAACTGAATGAAAGAGTATGGCCTTTCTTCACATGCCTGTACCTGTGCTGGGTAAGAGCCTCTACCAACACACACTGGGGTTGCCATCATGGTATTCTTGAGGAATAGAGGTGGGTCTGCTGCAGACCTAGAAAATATACTAGATTTAGCAATCTTGAGAGAAGGAGCATGCATGTGTGAATGCGCAGGTGCGTGTGTATGTGTGTGTGTGTGTGTGTGTGCGTGCGTGCGTGTGCATGCACGCACGCAAGTGCTTTCAAAAGCACATGTGCATTAGTGCCTGTGATCTGAGGACAGCAAAAAAAAAAAAAAAAAAAAAAAACAGTAGCTTTTGTGGCCACATCATGAACTGTTCTGGGTCGCTGGGACACGCCTGTCTTTCCCTTCCTCTGCATTGATATGTATGTTAGACATATTTCACTACCATGTTTTTTGATGTGTGATAAGTTTAGGGCACCGTGCTTATGCTTTGAGTTTTAGTTAGAAATGTGTGTGTTTGTCCCCCTACCCCGGGAACTAAGCTTCCTTTGCCTAGCACTCCTAGAAGGACTCATAAGGCTTTGAATCCTAGCATGACTTTTGTCCCTGTAATTCATAAAGCAGAAGGACCCACTGGTCTCCAATCACAGAAGGGTTTGGACCAAGCCAGCCCATCTGCCCTTTTTTTGCAGAACCATCTAATGAGCTAGATGATGTTGTAGATGTGGTTGCTTTTATAAAGGGCTGCTTGAGAAATTTCTGAACAGCTTTACATTCTTAATTAACCACGGTCATCACTGGTGTCCGCAGAAGACCAGTTTTGAGTATCCTCACACCAGGGTTCCAGCCTGCTTCGTCCCACTCTGCTCCCTCCTCCCCCTTCCTTTCCCTTTCCCCTGGCATCTATCCTACCACATGAGTGTCTCAGGCATGGACACTGTTCTTTATCTCAGTCCTTCCCATAGCTCCTCACTTTCTGTGTGGTGCTGAGCAAAAAGTATAGGGAAGTGGTCTCCACCCAGGAACCCAGCACTCCACAGCTTTCTTCTGCAAGTGACCCTAAGGTTGGAGCACAAGCTGCTGAAGGATGCTTGCCCAGCTGGTGCCCTAGGTGCTTTGTGAGCTTATAGTCCTGGATTGCAAGTGGCTGCTATTGGTGGTGCCTGGACACTGGAGGTAGGACCCAAGACCAGAGAGAAACTGTGGAGAAGGATGAAGCCCCTCTTAGTCTGAAGTCAGCATCTTGGCCTTCTTCAAATTAATGCTGAAATTCAAAGTTCTCAGAGCCAGTGACTCCACCTCCCCCATGTGCCCTTCATAATGTTTCTCCAGCACAGCTGTGGACAATGCAGAGGCTTGGCCAGGCCTGTCCTGACAGATCCCTTGGGCTGAAGAAGGCCCAGCAGAGAGGGTCTGTGGGGAAGTGTAGAGCCTAGAGCTGTCACCCATGGGTCCTGTACTGCCTAGAGCTGGTAGCAAGACCTCTGTTTGTGTGGCTTTCAGAATCCTGATCCCTCTGCTGGTGAGTTCTCAGCCTGCATGAACTATAGGCCAAGGGGACCCTGATGGCTTGGGTGGCCCCACTGCACAACAACCTAAGCCTGTGTGCCTGTTGATGTGTCTCCTTGTGACCTGAGTGTGCTGGTGACTGCAGTGAATGATGTCACTCACCTGTTCCATGCTTTACAGTGAGTCGTTGGCCCCGATGGCTGCTTGCTTACCTGCACCTGGGCAGCCCAGCCTCCACGCAGCCATGTAATTCTTGTCCCCTCATTTTTTTTTTTAGAATGACCAAGTGATATTCTTTGTCCTGTCCAGGGCTCTGGATGTGGTTCTCTGCAAACAGCCTTTCTGAAGTCTGTCAGTTAGTCAGGGCATGCATTCTTGGCTGTGACAGTCCCTAGTACTGGTAGCCAGGTAGTATGCTGTAGGAGGGGTATTTGCAGAGGAAGTTACTTGATCACGGGCTTTAAGCACTCTAACCTAGTACCACTGTGACCTCCTGTCACATTAGTTGCTTGGATTGGCCTTTGGAGAAGGCCTCCCTCCCGTTGCTCCATCAGGCTGGATCAGGGCCCCTTGGTCTCTAACCTGTTCTGCCATTTTCATTGACCTAGGCGGGATTAAGGACTCTGCATGACATTGGGCCAGAAATCCGGCGTGCTATCTCCTGTGACTTGCAAGATGACGACCCAGAAGAATCAAAAGCAGACGAAGACGATGTATTCAAAGTAATTATTCCACGCCTAGCTACTCATTGGCCACATGGAGATAGTGGGGCAGGACTTTGGTTGGGGTGGTTCTGACCCACAGAGGAGTGTGGAGAATATATACCAGTGGCAGGGTCTAGAGGGGCTTGCACAACCTGCCCCTCTCCACCCTGGGACTTCTCCATTCACCAGCACCTCGTGCGGGCCAGACCATGCCCTCTCCTGAGCTTTCCCCCATCCCCAGCCGCCAGCTTCTCAGCTTGGCCACAGCCAACTGACCAGAGTGCAGGAACATTCTGGGTCTTTCTAGCAGCTGTCCACGCTGCCCTCCTTCTGCTCTAGCCCAGTTCTTTGATCTGCCAGCCAGCCCTCAACCTCAAAGCTCAGAGAAAATGTCAAGTACCCCCACCTTGGGGCTACTCACCAAGCCAGCTGGGCTTAAGTCACCTCATCTTGGAGCGACTGGAAGAACATACCCAGGGGGCAGCAGAGAACTTGGTCCCCAGCTCAGGACTTGGTAACCTTCCTCATTTCAGGTGGGCCAACTGCCACATGAGTACGTTCACCTGACCACTGAGACACTCAGGTTGTTTCACAGGGATCCTCTGGAGCTTGCCTAGAATTTGTGTTTCATATAGAAAAAAAAAAAATGACCTAACGTAGCTAGCCTGCATCAAATACTTGTTAAATTACCTGGTGTTGTCTCCCATTATTTTGCAGAGAAATGGTGCCCTGCTTGGAAACCATGTCAATCATGTTAATAGTGATAGGAGAGATTCCCTTCAGCAGACCAATACCACCCACCGTCCCCTGCATGTCCAAAGGCCTTCAATTCCACCTGCAAGTGATACTGAGAAACCGCTGTTTCCTCCAGCAGGAAATTCGGTGTGTCATAACCATCATAACCATAATTCCATAGGGAAGCAAGTTCCCACCTCAACAAATGCCAATCTCAATAATGCCAATATGTCCAAAGCTGCCCACGGAAAGCGGCCCAGCATTGGGAACCTTGAGCATGTGTCTGAAAATGGGCATTACTCCTACAAGCATGATCGAGAGCTTCAAAGAAGGTCCAGTATTAAAAGGTAACCTTGAAAGGTGATACGATGTCTGCCCTTGTCACGTCCATTCTGCAGAGCAAGGCGAGACTTCTGTCCTGTGCTCTGGCACATGGTAATTCCCTGAAGACGTTTGTATTTGAACTTGAGTGCCACTCAGCTCATGGCCCCCCCATACATTGTCCCTGTGAGGGAGCTACCATATAAGGGGCCACCCACTGTCCACCATCCTCCTGCAGGGGTGGTTCTCTTAAAACAACAGCAGCCACAAAATCCACTTTTCCCAGTTATGACAACATGTTGGGCTGGGGGTTGGTGAATTTCTTCTGTAAAGGGACAATATGTGAGTGTTTGAGGACCACTCAGTGTCTCTCCCAAACCTACCCAGCTTTGCCACAGCGGGGTGGAAGAAGCAAGGGAGCATTCTTCAGTGAGCCAGTGCGGTTATGTTCCCATCGAGCTGTGTGCGTAGACACTGAAATTTGGTGCGCTTAGAAAGGATGAGAGGTTTCTCTTCTTATTATTTGGTTTTCCGCCCTCTCTAAATGTCAGCTCTCTTCTGAGCTCGTGGGCCACATGAAAACAGATAGTAGCCTGTATGGGGCCAGCACACTGTAGTTTGCCCACCCCCACTCCAGAGGCGGGCCTGGTGTCTGTGCTTTCAGTGCCTTTGGAAACTTCTAACTCTTCTCTTCTCCCTCCCTCCCGTGGTATGCCTTTCCTGGATAGAACCCGCTATTATGAAACTTACATTCGGTAGGTGCTCGTTCCTCTGTCTTTGCTTTGAATGCCATGCTGCCCTATGACCCACCACTTTTGCTCAGGGCCAAGGAAGAAGAAAGACGTCTCTTAGTCAAGTCACCTAATGGCTTCTCAAAATGCCAGAGCTTGCATTCATGAATGAGCAATTCCCACTGATTTCTAGCAGAAGAATTTTTAGGTCCAGGCATAGATGCTGTCGCCCTCCAAGCACCGGTACCCTCTGGTCTTCCCCCTTCCTCTGCCCCTGGGTAGCTGGGCAGGTCCAGCTGCTTTGGGGGTCCAGATTCTCATATGGACTTAGGAGAAGCAAAGCCCAGACAGCCTGTAAACTAGGCACCAGATCCCTCGGGCTAACTTTCCTATAACCTTCAGTGTGTGTGTGTGTGGGGGGGGGTAGTCTCATGTACGTGAGTTGATGGGGACTGAATTATGATTAGAATGGTTATTTTAATGGGGACAAGAGAAGAAACGACTCCAGGCTAGTTGCTTCCAATAAGACCAGGAGGCCGTCGGCCCAAGGAGTGAGCTAATGAGGTGCTCTGGGTTAATGCTACTGAGTCCACTGGGCCTCCTACAGCTTGAGGCCAGGAGGCAGCAGGCTGCATGGAAATACTATGTTGACCTGGGACAGGGCAGCCTGTGGAAACCTCAGGAGACACTTTCCAGGAACATTTTCTAGGAAAGGCCAGAACTCCTCCAATAGCCTCATTTGATAGGGAGCAGTCAGCAAGGCAGAGGCTTCAGTCCCAGGTTCTGAAGTCACATTGGCTGGAGCTGGAGTGGGTGGGAGTGAGTGTGGGAACCTGGTGTCTTTTCTTGGGACTACTGACTACAGAATGCAGCATTCCTACAGAATGGGTCTGTCTTACTCTGTTACTCAAATTACATCTGTGTCTAGGTCTCAAGGTTCCTAGGCACAGTGGTTTGGTCCCAGCACTGTGCGAGGTACCGAGACCACAAGCACACACACACACACAGATGCACACATGCATGGGCTGGGCACAGAGCATCTTGGCCAGAGCCTGAGTACTCATATTGTCAGGGGGGGGTAGGGGGGCAGGAGTGTGTAGGAAGAAGCAGGCGCTCTGAGGGAGGACTGGAGGATCTGGGTGCCGCCGCCTTAAGCTCTCAGATCTCTTTCCCAACTGCAGGTCTGAGTCAGGAGATGAACAGCTTCCAACTATTTGCCGAGAAGACCCCGAGACACCTGGCCACTTTAGAGATCCCTACTGCTTGGGGGAACAGGAGTATTTCAGTAGTGAGGAGTGTTGTGAGGACGACAGCTCCCCCACTTGGAGCAGGTGAGGGCTTCATTCTGGGCCGAATGCAGGAGACCAGCCCTCCCCCGATCTTTCTGCTCCTGCCCAGTGTTCACATAGCCACACTCCGGATTCCCCCGAACATCAAAGCAGGAGTTCGAGCTTGCCTTATTTCACCTGGGGCCTCTGAGAACTGAACCCGCCACGGCTGACATGGCTCTGTCATCTCAGCAATGAATTCTTTTATAGGGGGCGGGTGTTTTCGAGACAGGGCCTCTCTACTTAGCCCTGGCTATCCTGGAACTCACTGTGTGGACCAGGCTGTCCTCGAACTCACAGAGATCCACCTGCTTCCGCCTCCCAAGTGCTAGGGTTAAAGGTGTGCACCACCATGCCTGGCCTGCGAGATGAGTTCTTATTAACTGACTTGGGAACACCAGCCTTGGCTGTGCTTCCATAGCAGCTTGGCTGAGGGTTCAGTGAATGGCCCCTGCTTCCTGCTCCAATGAGTCTCTCCTGGGGATAAGGGGACGAGGTTAGGACGGCCTCCCTCAAGCAAAGGTGCCTCTCCCAACTTCTGCCCTACACAGGCACTTTGCAGTCCTGGAGATGTAGCTCGGGTGAAGAGCAGTACTTGCAGAGGACCCAGAGGACCCAGGTTCAGTTTGTAGCCCTCACGGGCAGCTGTCACTTACTCCAGTTCTAAGGGGAACTGATGCCCTCTTCTGGCCTCTATGGCCACTGCATGTACAAGGCATCTATAGATGTACACAAAACACTCATATAATAAAATGAAAATAAATCTTGTTTTAAATAGAGACTTAGATTTAAGACAAAATCCACCTACCACCATCCTCCCTGACCTGCACATCACTATCTTATCAGGTTGGGGGGCCCACAAAGTTGAAATGGTGCTATGGTAAGGCCATGTCTGGCACCTGAGACACAGCCTGACCTTTACCCATGGGGCACCACCTTCCACTAACACCCAACTTCCATGTTCACTGATGTGGAGTCAGATGGACCTGTGGATCCCACTTCTGGGGCTTGTTCATCCCAGGTCCCCCTCTTAGATGGCCATCTCTGCTAGCCTCAGTCTACTTTAACAGCAGCAAGAAGGCAGCCTCTTCATTTTGGAGTTAAAACTGCCCCTCAAACAAGAACCCAACCATGGAGCCTTCCATACCCTCCCCTGTTTCACGTTATACTGAGCCTGCATGCCAATGGCATTCTCTTAGCTCCATGTCCTGTGCCTGGTTCCTGGAGAAGGAAGGTCCTTGGGACAATGGTCTCCAGGAGATAAATAAAGGGTAGTCAGGTTGACAAGGTCTGTGTGATTACCATCGGCTTTGGGCCTGTATCTGGCATGCAAACAATGATCACGCGGCTTATCATAAGCCCCAGGTTCCTCGGATGGTCCTTGCTCTTCACCCGGGGGCTCCCACCACTAAGAACTAGCTGCAAAGGGAGTAGGGTAGGGTAGGGTTTATCAGAGCTAGGTCAAGGCTTGTTGCCCAGAACTTCATGTGTACCCTCTTGTTTTTCTTGCCAACTGCCAGGCAAAACTACAGCTATTACAACAGGTACCCAGGCAGCTCCATGGACTTTGAGAGGCCCCGAGGCTACCATCACCCCCAAGGCTTCTTAGAAGATGATGACTCACCCATTGGCTATGATTCACGGAGATCTCCGAGGAGACGCCTTCTACCTCCCACGCCACCATGTGAGGCCAGTTTTCTTGTTCAGGGCGAAGCTTCCCAGAGGGTACCAAGCCCGCCCCCCTGTCCCACCCATGGGATAAATGATGGATCTGTGCTGCCATGGCTGCTGCTCACTCTTAAGATCAGCCAGTACCCTGGTAGACCATGCTTGCCTGTCTGTTGTCTGTATCCCCATAATGGGTTCCTTCAGAGGAAAGAGAGAGGCAGAGGGTAACCCCAAACTCTCACACTCACATCTAAGAATGTTTTGTGCACAGGGCATGGTCTTTGAGCTTGCATCCATCCTGAGAGGTGGGCAAGACTCATAGAGTCAGCCCGACTCCTCTCCCACTCCACAGTGGGGAAACTGAGCCTCTGATGGGAAGGAGGAATTCAGAGCTAGAGCTCCCTGGTCCAGGACTGTCTTGAGAACCCCTGCCTCTGAGTAGCACCTGGGTCCATCCTGGGGACCCTCCTCTCCTCCCCGTTCCTTCCCTCACTCTAACATTGCTTTAGGGGTGCCGTTGTCGTCCCCTCACAGGGCAGGACAGGGCCTTGACTGACCCCCAGAAGGAGCAGGCCCTCTCTGGCCCAGGGAGAAATGGGGCTTCCCTTTCTCCCGTAGCCGCGGTTATCCCTAAGTCTCTGCCAATCCCTAGAGAGGCAGCCAAATTCTGCCAAGCTTTAAGAACACCCACTTCTTGTGTTTCTGAGGGACGAGGCTGAATTGAGGATTCTGTTTAGTAACCAAACCGGCTGAGATATAGGCGCTCCTGAACCTGACCGTCGTCCATCCAGGAAAGAACACGGTCGGCCATGTCCCACTGCAGTTGTCACAGCCTGTGGGAGTGGAGTCAGACCCATTTGAGTGCTTCATATTTCATTATCCCCAAACACATGCTGCTAAATGAAGCCTTTCCCTCCCCCCTAAGTACCAAATGGAACAGGTGTGATGAGTGAGGCCCCGCAGAGGCCCATTCCCTTCAGTTCCTGCTGCCTCCTTCAGACCATTGTCTTGACTTACATCCAGACAGCCTAGTGGGACACTTGAGTGCCCTGTTCCCAGGCCCAGCCTGACCCCATAGCAGAGGACAGCCTGGGCAGGAAAGGACATTGGCAGACCTGGGGCAGGGGGAACATGGCTACACTGGTCTATACTCCCAGCCAGTGGGAGTGGGTGAAAGGCACATGAAAGAGCTGTGTCTTACAGAGACTGTGTAGAGCTCACTGGATGAGAGGACCTGGGCTTATTTTAGAGGTAGGTCCTGAATGTGTGGAAGGGCTGTTTCTCTTCCAGTTCTGAACAGCTGGTCTGTCCAGGTATTGGGTCTAGAGGTTGTGCTGACCGAGAGGCCCATTTTCTGTGGTCAGACTCGTTGGCGGGCAAGGAGTGGGCTTTCTGCATAAGTGGTGGCAGCTGAGCTGGGAGGCCTGAGCATGCCCTTCATCCTGAGTACACTTCTGACTCTTCTTCCTTTCCACTGGTCATTCCCATCCAAGGGCTTGACCTGACCTTCATTGCAGACCTGTTTACAAAGCTTTTTGTGAAGTCCAAGGTGTCTGGGAGGCCCTCTTCGGGCCAGTCCCTGAGGATGTCCCTTATGAGACCTGGGGCTGTGTGGAGTTTTTCTGGGCTAGGAAAGCCTGGCAGCTTGGAAAGAGCAGTTGGATTAATGCAAAGAACAGACAGGACTCCTTGAAGTCCACAAGAGTAGAAGGGCATCTAGGACCGCACTGGCTTTGCCAAAGGACCCCAGAACCCTAAGCCTGGTGCCCTATAAAGCTGAAAGCTGTGGATCATCAGTGAGCCTCTCTTGGCAATTGCTTCCAGCACATGGCAAGTTCTGAGACATACTCACATCTCCGCTAAGGAAGGGGATTTTTTTCCAAGAAAAGAATTTGGTTACTTTGCCTGCTTAAGCTGATCGGCAGAATTAATTTAATTTGAAAACAGAGGCTTAAATATGGGGACCTCGGGAAGATGGAGGGTGTGTGGAGGGCAGGGATAGGATAGCATGGAACGCCTGAGATGCTAGAATGGATCTCTGTAATGCACCCCAGGGCTGTGACTCAGCCCAGATCCCTCTGGGCTGCCTGAGAGCAGGCAAACATTGAAAAGTGATTCATTGCTACCTTATGGAACTATCCCACAGCTGGGATGCTTCATTTAGTCCTCCCATCCCTAGGTTGGGGAATTTTGTAATTATTTCTCTTGGATAAGCCTGCTTCTGCCTGGGCTCCTTGCTGAATGCCTCAGGAAATGGTCCTGACTCCCGAGTCACACTGTCCAGACAGGACTCACACCGCCACGCGTCCTGTGCTTCCCCTTCTCAGCCCATCGGAGGCCGTCCTTCAACTTCGAGTGTCTGCGCAGGCAAAGCAGTCAAGAAGACATCCTTCCGTCGCCTGCCCTGCCTCACCGGGCCGCCCTGCCCCTGCACCTGATGCAGCAGCAGGTGAGACGCTCCGGCCTCAGCCCTGCCAGGGTCCCACCTGGAATGCACTCTTCCCTGGAAGAGGCAGAGAGTCTGCAGCTGCCACTCTCGTTGTCCTGGAGCGGCCCTCCCTGGTAGAGTCCCCCAGGGCCCATTCCCCTGGAGTTCTCCGCGCAGCGAAGGGTGGACTGCGTCCTCGGGCTCCATGCATCCTATCATAGAATACTGGGCCTGGCGCAGTCTGAATTAAGGCAATGCAGCTTTCCAATAATAGTTGCTGCTACGACTTATTTCCTCAGAGAGGTGGTTCCTCCATGAAGCCACCCAGTTGTGCGGCTTCTTGTGCATGGGTCCTCTGGTCATCAGCGTGGATGGGCTTCCTCTGTGGGCTAAGGGGACGACCAGCCCACAGGAAGGGCAGCTGAGCCAGAGGCAGCCCATGACCCCAAGCCGTGCACCAGGGGCTTAAGGATAGACATATGTATACATGCATGCGTGTGTGTGTGTGTGTGTGTGTGTGTGTGTGTGTGTGTATGGATAAACATATATGTTCATACGCACCCGTGTGTGTGTGTGTGTGTGTGTGTGTGTGTGTGTGTGTGTATGGATGGATAAACATATATGTTCATACGCACCCATATGTGTGTATGTGTTTCTTGAAGTATCTCATCAGAGATGCTGTGTGGGGTGACTGATCAAGAGAGATGCCAGAAACCTGCACCCAGGCAGCCCGTGAACAGGCCCAGATCTCCCTGAGGTTCTGACCCCAAGCTCTGAACCCAGCAGTACTCAGTGGCCATTAAAGATTTTCTAGTCGGGCTGGAGAGATGGCTCAGAGCTTAAGAACACTGGCTGTTCTTCCAGAGGTCTTGAGTTCAATTCCCAGCAACCACATGGTGGCTCACAACCATCTACAATAAGATCTGGTGCCCTCTTCTGGCCTACAGACAGAACACTCACTGTATACATAATAAATAAATTTTAAAAAAAAAGATTTTCTAGTCACCTCTGCCAGCACTTAACAAATGTTTTGCCCACATGTCTGTTCGCTCATCACATGCATGTCTGGTGTCCCTGGGGTTTAGAAGACATCAGGTCCCCAAAACTGGAGTTCCAGATGGTTATAAACTACCACATGGGTCCTCTGGAGGATAAATCGGTGTTCTTAACCCCTGAGCCCGTTTGCCTGCACTTTTTTTTTTTTTTGGTTTTTCGAGACAGGGTTTCTCTGTGTAGCTTTGCGCCTTTCCTGGAACTCACTTGGTAGTCCAGGCTGGCCTCGAACTCACAGAGATCCGCCTGGCTCTGCCTCCCGAGTGCTGGGATTAAAGGCGTGCGCCACCACCGCCCGGCGTTTGCCTGCACTTTTAACACTAAATTTTAACTTCTTTCCTGTATCATCATGGAAGAAAGATGACCTTTTTGAGAGCTCAGATCACCAGATGCCACAGCTCAGACAGTGGAGGAGGCCTCTCAGGGGCCTATGAGCCACCAGGCACAAGCCCAGGTCTTGTCTCAGCCACTGTCCCTGGACTGTCCTGAATTCCCTGGCTATGGCAACAGTGCCGATGCAAACAGGTAGTGGTGGACATCTCAAGGTGGCTCTGCCACGGAGGACATTTGAGAATCAGGGCAGACAGAACACTCACCGCGGGATGAGAGGCCCGGGAGCAGAGAGAACTGGTTGTCTTCGTGTGTGAGCCAGAGTCTGTGGATGTCCCTGAAGTGCGCGTCAGTACTGAATCCCAGAGAGACCTAGGTAGTGTTCACACACTACAACTTACAGGTCCTCCCAGTTCTTCCTCCCTCTGAGGCAGCTGCGTCAGTTAGCAACAGACAGCTCAGTCATGGAGAACGCCTTGCGGCTTTGAGGAAAAGGAAACTCTCTCTGCTAGGAGGCCCCAATTCCCCTGCCAGCTCCTTGAACCTTCTCTCGTATGTTCTCCCAGTCTTCTGAGGGGCAGCCCTGCACAGCTGTCACATGCCAGACTTGGGCCAAGGCCTGGACCCCCGACACTGACTCCTCTCTTGCTTCTCTCCTCAGATCATGGCCGTAGCAGGCCTCGACTCCAGTAAAGCCCAGAAGTACTCTCCAAGCCACTCCACCCGGTCATGGGCCACCCCTCCAGCCACCCCTCCATACCGGGACTGGACCCCGTGCTACACTCCCCTGATCCAGGTGGACCGCTCAGAGTCTCTGGACCAGGTCAACGGCAGCCTGCCATCCCTACACCGCAGTTCCTGGTACACGGATGAGCCTGACATCTCCTATAGGACTTTCACACCAGCTAGCCTGACCGTCCCCAGCAGCTTCCGGAACAAAAACAGTGACAAGCAAAGGAGCGCAGACAGCCTGGTGGAAGCAGTGAGTACGGGTGGCTTTTGACTTCCGTGCAAGCATCAAGGCAGCAGCAGAAACAGGAGGACCACCCTCACGTGGGGGGAGGGCAGCGGTGACGTGATGGGCTCTGCAGCCACGCCACCTGAGGGTGGCTTCTCAGCAGCAGGCGTGGTTGGCATTTAAGACCTGGGGGAAACCCAGCTGGCACTGCCAAGTCCCATTAAAGAGTCCGTCCCACCACCATACCAATCCACACCATGTTTCTTCCGTGCTTTTGGCTCTTGTTCAGTGGAGCTTTTCAGCTCTTCGACATGGACCGTGCCGAGGTCATTTACAGTCACTGTCATGTGTAAAGCCCAGCAGACATGGCTGATGCAGTCCCTCAAGCATGCCGTGAAGTGAGAGCTGAGGTGAACCCTCCCACTTAGGCCCATCTCCTCTTTTCTGTCCAGGTCCTGATATCCGAAGGCTTAGGACGCTACGCAAGGGACCCAAAATTTGTGTCAGCAACAAAACATGAGATCGCCGATGCCTGTGACCTAACCATTGACGAGATGGAGAGTGCGGCAAGCACTCTGCTCAATGGCAGCGTGTGTCCTCGAGCCAATGGGGACATGGGCCCCATCTCACACCGCCAGGACTATGAACTCCAGGACTTTGGTCCCGGCTACAGTGATGAGGAGCCAGACCCTGGGAGAGAGGAAGAGGACCTGGCAGATGAAATGATCTGCATCACTACCTTGTAGCCCAGTGAGGGCAGGCTGGCTTCAGCCTGAGATGGGCACAGGAGGGCCAGGGATAGAGTGCCTCATGGTTAGGAAAGTTTAGGCACTAGTTGGGAGGAAATGCTCAATTAGACTTTTGTACAAGTGATATCACGCCCCCAAGGAAGCCATAACCTGGTAGGAGCAGGTTCTGAGTGGCCAAGCATGTGGTATGCCACATACCCAGGCCCAGCCTCAGAAGACAGTATGTCTGGCCCCTCGGGAGGATGGGTGAGGAGGGCAGCCTGGCCTGCACAGAGGCCCGAAGGTCTGCCCAGGAATTTAAGTTTCACACCCAGGGCACATGACAGAGAGGTTAAAGGTGATGGCAGTCACCACATCTGTGTCATTAGCTCGGCCATCAGTCTAGCATATCAGACACTCACTGGGCCCATCATTCTCCATTTCTGAACCCCCTCCCCCAACACACTGCTTCCTGACTCCTGGGCAGCTGTTCTGAACAGTCCACACCGGAACTCAGCCGCAAGTGGTCATAGTGAGGGGAGTGGGGACCGGACAGGCACGGTTCTGTCATGCGACGCCAGTTTACATAAGAGAGCGTCACTCAGACGGTCAGTTCTGTCACCTAAGGGCAACTGTAAACTGGAGAGTAACACACTTGCAAACCAGGTAAACTTAGATACGTTAGTTTGTTTAAAAATTATAGGTTTACTGTACATGACTTGTAATATACAATTTGTATTTGTAAAGAGATGGTCTATATTTTGTAATTATCGTACCGTATTTGAACTGCAGCAATATCCAATGGGTCCTAAACAATTGTAGTTTCCCACCAAAATCTAGAAATTATTAGTATTTTTACTTGGGCTAAACAGAACTAGGAGAATTAGAGCCAATTCTCACGTCTTCAGTAAAAGAATCTTTTGGGGATAAACTTTTGAGTTCAAAAAAATCTTGACCACCTCAGAAATTTTTCTAAAATATTTTGAGTCACTATAAACCTATCTTTACATAAGATATCAAGATGACTATTTGCAGTCTTTTCTTTGGGTTCTATGATTTTATATTGTACCTCTTACTTACATGGGTTGCAACTGTCTTCGGTTTGGTTTCACTTTAATAATCCCCTGGTCAGTTAGTTACATAGCAGGGACATCCACTGGGCTGGCTTCCTCAGCTGCCCATGCAGGATGCTTCCGGTCTCTGAGGCAGAAGTGACCGAACGAGCGAACCACAGGCATCTGCTCACATCCCCAGGGATGCTTCTCTTAAGAGGAGGTACTGGCATGGTGGAAGAGAGGAGCACTGTGGTAACCTGGGAGTGTGGGGTCTGTACGGGGTCTCCTGTGGCCATGCACAGCTGCTGTGCAGCGCGTTCTCTTTGAGAGCTGCCATACGCCGCTGGACGAGGGCTGAGATTGCCATGAGAACACACGCATCGACTGTACGCCCAGGGACAGTCAGCTTTGGGATTGTTGCAACCGTCAAGGTTTCCCAGTCTGTCAACAGTCACGTGATACCACCCCATTATTTTGCTAAGGATTATCTGCAATCAAAAATACAGGTAGCAGTTTGGGTTCAAAATTTTTAACTAGTACACAGACAACCTGTGGAAAAAAAACTTTTTTTTTTTTTTTGTAAATAACACTTTTGTTACAAAGACCTCACAAACCTCTTCCTAGGACATTCTTACTCCAGATGCAGGCAAAAACACTTCAAGGTTTGTAAATGACTATTTCCTGACATAAAGCCTTTTTTTTTTATTAAAATGCAAAATGTTCTTCAGAATAAACTGTGTAATAATTTCATTGTACCGGGAGCTCTCCTCACAGAGCTGGCTCTGCCGAGAGAGCTTCAGAGGGGCAGGTGCTCCCATGCAGCCCTGGGCTCAGGCAGCTTTTTCTGCCCTCGGGCTCCTCCAAGGCCAATAGTAACTTTGCACCAGCTGCAAAGAGGGCTGCTTCTCCTCAAGGGCTAAACCACCATCAGCATTCACCTTGGACTCTGTCTTGCTGAGTGTCTGTCTGACTGTGCGACTTAACATCAGCAGATCATGCTCCCCACGCCAGGACTGTGTGTTCTGAAACGGGTGATTATCTTTCCCAAAGTCTGCCCGTCAATGTTGCCTGGCTTTTCAGGCTGCCCCACTTCCCAGGATGTCTGCTTTGAGTCTGGTTCAACCTCTCATCTAATATTAAATTTCTCTTTGTAAGAAACATTTGAAGTTGTAGAGCATGATTTTTTCCCCCCTCTTTAAAGAAGTTTTAAGGCTAAATACTTCTGCTTTTTGGTTTCCCTACCCCACCCCCCAAAATGATTTTGAGTTCTTTGGATCGCTGCATTCAGTTGAAGCTCATGTTTTTTTTTTTTTTTTAACGACGTTAGGAAGTGTGGAAATCGCTCTGATCCACTAGCCAACAGCAAGCACCTCATTCGGAAGGAATGTGGACCCCACTCTGTAGCTCTAGAGGGGTGTGCTTTGAGGGTGTAGCCATAGCTCCTTGAGACTGTGGCTAGGGTACACTACCCACTTCCCAGCCCTTCAGCAAGACCAGTTTTCTTTCACGCTGTGGGCTTTTTACCATCTGTATCACCTGTGCCTTTGTTTCAGGGGTGGAGGGTTTACTTGTGAAAAACAGAGTAACACACACACACACACACACACACACACACTCCAGCTCTGCTTCCTGGGAACTGGGAGGGCAGTGGGGGCTGAGGCTGAGGGAGAGTCTCAGATGCTGGCCTCTGATGTGGGAATGAGGGGTGGTTGGAAGAATGTGCAGCTGAGCCAGCAGGGGCCACTCAGGCCACCAACTAGGGCCTAGGGGTAGATCATGTTCTTCCCCCCACCCCTAATTCTGAAGATTAAAAAAAAATCTTTGCATTAGATTTGATATCATGGTAGTTTATCAGTGGAAATATGAAAAGTCTTGGGGCCTGAGGGACATGGTGTGGCAGGTGGGAAGAGCCCATTTTGCATTTATGGAAAGTAACCCTGCAGCTGGCACTGGAGGCAGAAGGGCTTGAATGTCACAGTGCTTCCACCTCCTGCTTCTGTGACCGTTTCTGGTCATGCTGGTGAGTTGTTCCTGTCTCCCCCAGGATCTGTCAGGAACACATTTGGCCAACAGTGAGATACATGCAAGTTCTCTCAACACTGAGCAGGGCTCCCCACAGCTCACAAGTGCAGCGGCTGCTTCTTGATTCTAAGGGTCAACCCTGGGCCATGTGCTTGCAAGGTGCGTGCACACCAGTTTGGGCAACATGTGGCCTTCCGTGTTTTAGGCATGACACGCTCCTTGCCAAGGAGCGTGCTTAGCTAAAACCAAGTCTGTCCAGTTCCCCATGAGACTCAGTCTGACGGCCTGTGTGAGCCCCACTTGGCAACCCAAGCAGGCCGGCGTCATTCCACCGCTCTGGCTCCCTCGTGGCGCTGGGACTTCCAGACCGCCCTGGCATTTGGATTCAGCATTGCAGGCAGGACTGTTCTACTTGGGCTGGAAACAGGAGCCGCCATGTTAGGCCATCAGGACTCCAGCGAGGAAGCCCCTGAATCCCATGTTCTATCCTGAGTTTTGAGCCCCAACAGCAATTTCCCACTTGACATCTTTGAGTTCTGGGCATGTAACCTTCGCTTTTCGTCTCCAGAGACACGTTTCCTTGTGTGGCTAAGTCATACCAACACGTGGAGCCTGCCGAGGCATGCCACAGGGAGAGAAAGGCCTGGCTATAACTGAGGAGGTCGACGGAGTTCAATCTTCTCTTATCACGGCTGTGCATGAGAGCAGAACACGACCCTCCCAGGGGTGGCACCCTCACTGCTCAGGACGCCACGGATGACTGCCGCGTGGCTCCTGCTCCGTGAGAAGCTCTTGGCAGACCTAGGGTTTTCTTTCTTGACTTTCTTTTGGAACAGGGTGGAAAAAAAAAAAAAAAAAAGAAGACAAGGCACAGGTAAGACGAAACAAAAGCAACCTGGTTTTTGAAAGAAATGCGTTGGTTTACTTCAACCTTTCTGAAAGGCCTTTCTCAGATGTCCAGATGGCGGCTCCTGCCACTCCCAGTCAACCCTCGTGGAGCCTGGGATTCTGATATCCCCCTCTATTCTGGGCCTCGCAATGCAGGTTTCTATACAGTGATTCTTTTTTTTCCCTGCTATAAGTGGTGGCTTTGGACATCTTAGAAAAACTGGTCTTCGTTTTCTTGTCAGGGCAGTCAGGACAAGGCAGGTGAGTTGTACGGTCACTTGAGCCCCTATCCCTGCACCCCACTCTTCAGATTTGAGTCAAGGCAGGAGAAGGGACAGCCAGCACCCTCCAGCTGGCTGCCTTTCCTCTCATCGTGGACATGAGCTCAGGTACCAGCCCTGGCTCTTGGCCTCAGCTAAAGCATCCTTGGAGAACCCAGTCCAGTTCAAGCACCCTGCCTTTGCAGAAGTGGCCTTAGGTGGGAGGCCAAGGAAGGGATCATTCCACTCCTGGCAGCGGAACACTGGACTGGAGATGGCTGGAGGGCTTGTGAGAAAATCACGCAAGAGTTAACCTCCCGACCTTTTAACCCCAGGAGGTCGGGAGGAAGACCAGTGTGCAGGCTAGCCTTCCTCCGAGGGTCCTCAGACACTGGGAAAAGGGCCTTGTCTCACTTACTACCATGGCCTTATTTCTTCAGATACCATGAAGGTCTTAGCCATGAGTAGGGATATCTGGGTCCCAAGGTTCTACACAGTTTCAGGAACTATCTGGGGGCAGGGCTGTGTATGACTTGGATCTCCTGACATGAGTTCGTCTATGATTCTCAGGCAGTGACTGCTTTAACGCTGGGTGGCCAGAGTCTGCGGCTTGTAGACAGGAACATCCTTGTCCCAGAGTGAAGGATACCCCTTAATAATGTCAGCTGCTTTCTCTGCAATCATTATTGTGGGAGCATTCAGGTTGCCACTGACCACACTGGGCATGATGGAGGCATCGATGACTCTGAGGTTTTCTACCCCAAGGACCCTGGTTTGCAGGTCAACCACGGCAGTGGGGTCAGAGGGCTGGCCCATCTTACAGGTGCAGGATGGGTGGTAAGCACTGTCTGCTTTCGCCCGCACAAAGGCATCTATCTCTTTGTCTGACTGGACATGGCATCCAGGCTGCAGCTCTTTGCCCCGGAAGGGAGCCAAGGCTTCTTGTGCAAAAATTTCTCTGCTCAGCTTCACACACTGACGGAAGTCCTGGACATCGGTTTCTGTGGAGGAGAGATCAATGAGTTCTCCTTCTTTTATCCTGCTGGTCAAGTGGAACTGGGGGACAAAGACAGGGACGTGGAGAATCAAGCCGCAAGTGCTTGTCACCTGCCCAGAAGCAGTTACAGTGCCAGGAGGTCCACGTTTGTGTCTGAGGTCTGCTTTCTCTGCCAACCAGGGGTAAAGATGTGCAATCTGCTCTGGACCATGTGGCTGTCAAGCCCCCATGCCGCCAGGGTAAAACCTTCCCCGTGAGAGGTGAGTATCTGTGCTGCAGTATGCAAAGAGGCGGGCCTGGGAATGCAGCATGATGCTCTCAATGCTAAAAGTACGGGTGGAGAAGGCCGGCAGGTAGTGTGCACAGGCCTGGCATCTGTACCTACTACAGATGGGTCTGAAAACTACACCTCTGTCCTGCTGTGCACAGTGAGGCTCCAGGCTACCTTGTATGACCCAGAACCGAGAGTAACCCCGGTGTTAGGAAAGGGGATCCGCAGTAAGGACTGGAGATAAACCAGGCCCAGGGGACACAACGGCTTCTGAGTTACCTGTTGACAAGTAGTTGGGGTGAATCATAGGATGGTCCCGAGGGTTGGCACTTCTCAGTTTGAGCCAGCCCACACTGGTGGCCCTCATGGTTCCCACATGTACCTAGGGAAGGTCCAGAGGAAACAGTTCACAGTAATCTCCATTAACTACCACTCAGAAGCTTAGAGAAGGCCCAGGTTCCCTGTGGGTGGGGACTCAGCACTCAATGTGGAGCATACAAAGTTGAGAAACCTGACCCTCTTCCAACCACCCCATCCCCTGTCTGGCCTTTATTTCTTTGAAACTTTCAGGGGATGATCCTGGGGCTGAGGTAGTTTTGCCTGTTCTCACTGGTGTGGATCCTGCCCTCTATACATCCTGCAGACTGGCTCCTGGGCTCTCTCCCTGGGGTAAGGTTTGGGCCCCCCTTCCTCTTCCAGTCAGACAGCAGCCAATGGGGAGCAGAGTGCCAGATGAAGGTCTGCACGGTGGGACAGATCACACCATGAAAGTCGATTCTAACGCAGAGGCAGGAAGGCATGGCGTCTGGCCATGGCTGTCTGCGTACCTGGTAAGCATCCTGCTGGGTGGGTTTCCGCCCGTGGTCAATCACTTGGGAGGGCAGGAAGTGGAACTGGATGTCCGGGTGGGGGACCCCAGGCCGGCTGCGGATGAACCCTCCTGTTTCAAGATGGGATGTGGCTCCATCCCCTGAGGATCACATGGGGACAAGGCAGAAGAGTCAGTCAGGGTATGGCAGGTGGGCCAGCTGTTCCCAGAGTCCCTCCTCTTCTTGGGCTTGGGTTCAAGGTCTGTCCATAATTTGTTTTCTTTCTCCAGGAGGCCATACCCAGCATTACAACTTTAAATGCCAGCTACATGCCAAGTGAGGGGTTTCAGGTCTGCAAAGGCTATCTGCCTGCCAGGCAGGACCTTTGTGTCCTTGCCTTGCAGACAGGAAAATGGGCTCTGGTGACTGCCATCCAACTTCATACCTAGCAACCAGAAGCTCATCTCGGCTCTTCAGGAAGAAAACTATGACGCCCACAGACCATAGCCACCAAGTTCACCAGGAGGTAGGCCCACCTGTTAATGCTACCAAGTTCACCGGGAGACAGGCCCACCTGTGAACCTCCACAACCACTCCAAACCGATGCAGAGCTTCCGCAGAGGCTTCTGGGCCGTGTGGAGGGTGATGGGGTGCGTGCATGCCTGCTGAATGTAGATCTCCAGGTGGTCCTGCAGGTTCTGTCCAACTCCTGACACGGGAAGGAATGGTTAGGAAAGGTGGCTTACACAGGGGCAAAACCCTTGGTTTTGGAAGTGTCTCTCCAGTCCATTTGTCTTTTAAGCCAGTTCCTGCCTGCCCTGGCCCCAGATTACAAGTTGTCTGCCTGAGTCACTGCTTCGATTCTCTGAGTCAAGTCTGGCCCTCTCTCACATGTTGCTAAGGCCACCTCTACAGCAGCCACTCAGGTGCCCTTTGGCCAGCCCTCCAAGGACGGGGCCCGCAATTACAGCAGGTACGGAGTGGTAATTTGTCACTGATTGTTGGCCAGATTGACACTTGTCAGCCCCCAGTCTGTGGAAGGAGGAAGCAGTCCCAGCATGCTGTGCAGACACTACTTAAGTTCATTCAATCTCAAGGGCACACTGGGCGGTCAGTCGAGACATAGACCACTCCCACAGGCCTCTCAAGGAAAGCCCTCAGTGAAAGGCTAGCCCCTCGGACATGGAGGACGAGGCAAGAAAGCTAAGCCCTTGAGGACATCACAGACAGTTGAAAAGATGAAGCCCGGGTCTTTTCATGGACAGTGGGTCCGGAGCCCTGAGCTGGCCTTATGTGTGCTTAGAGCGGCTCGTAAATCTTGGGGATAGGCCTTTCACACCACGGACCCGTACTGGTGGTGATCTTGACCCTGCTGTTACAGGATGCACTCCTAAAAGGTGCAGAGGCTGCCTGAGGGGGAGGGGCGAAGGGAAATAGCATGAGGACCCAGGGTCTGGTAATAGGAGTGCCCAGTGAGGCCCAGCGGACCTCAGACATGTAAGAAGGATAGATGTGACACTTTGAAGAAGCGCCACCTCCCCACTCCAAGCAATAAGCTGCTGGGCTCTCCAGAGCCCGTCCTCTGGGCAGCAGTCAGGAAGGGAGCTCACCAGGCAGGTGGCACACCACAGGGATGCCCAGTTTCTTGAGGTCGTCTGCATTTCCAACACCAGAGAGCATGAGCAGCTGTGGAGAATTGATGGCACCCCCACTCAGGATCACCTCCTTGCTGGCATACGCCTGGAAGAGGCAGGGGACCCCCAGTCACACTTCTCGAAAAGCCAGCTGACCTACTACGGCCTCACGGAGGTACGTGGTTACAGCCCTATCACGGGAGCGTGGCCTTGGGAAATTACACCACATGGAGAGTCTGCTCCCAGGCCCTAGAGTCAAGAGGTGGGAGCTTACCGGTTGGCTACTTAAAAGCCATCTATCTGTACATTGGAGTCACCATGTGTGACTTTCAGTAACCGCCGGAACAGTAACAGGGGCCTTAAGAACAGGGACGGTAGAACAGACACTAGAGTGATTTGAAGCAAGCCTACGAATATGGGGGGGGGGGGGGCAAGGCTGTCTCTGATATACCGCTGAGAAGCACCACGTATATATAGTATGATTACGTTTGTGGGTTTTTTGTTTTTTTTTTTTTTTTTTTGAGACAGGGTTTCTCTGTGTAGCTTTGCGCCTTTCCTGGGACTCACTTGGTAGACCAGGCTGGCCTCGAACTCACAGAGATCCGCCTGCCTCTGCCTCCCGAGTGCTGGGATTAAAGGCGTGCGCCACCACCGCCCGGCTACGTTTGTGGGTTTTTAAACTTCTAGGACCAACCTAATGGTTTCGGACAGGCCAGGACCCTGGAACCACATTAGAAGGTACTAGGGGACTCCTTGGGGGTGGATGTGGTAGGCAAGAAGCCCATGGAGGCATTCATATCAGAGCACCATGGAGTCTGCAGGTGCCAGGGGTTGGGGGCTTCCGACCTCTATGTCTTGTGAGACTCCAGGGACAATCCCGCCACCACTCCCAGCTGTTAACTCAGCATAGGGACAAGAGCATGTGGCTGGGGAGGACACCCTGCCGGCCAGGTCACTGCCTACCCCTTCCCGCCCTCTGAGTTCCCGCACCTTCCCTAGGAGTCAGCTCACCTTGTGGCTCTGGCCATTCTTGAAGTACTCCACACCCACTGCACGTGTGCCCTCAAACAGCACTCTGCTCACAAGGGTCTGGACCTCGGCCCTGAGGTTGGGGCGGCTCAGTGCCGGGTGCAAGTAGGCACAGGCTGCGCTCCAGCGCTTCCCTGCAGGATGGAGCAAGATCATGTGTGGCCCGCTGCTCTCTCCCTCATTCCTGGGCAGGAGGAACATGCTGGAGAAAGCAACTCTATCCCACCCTGGGCTATTCAAGACCTGTCTTCAAGGTATACCCTAGCCTGCAGTCCAGGCTGCCGAGAGCCCCAGGACATGCGCTGTCCTGTTGTGGTCAAGGCCCCGTATACCCGTGCTGGGTCTACATGCATCCTTCCACGAAGGGGTGATGGCTAACACAAGATAAGTAGTCTTGTGCCATCTCTTTCTGCCTCAACTTGCTCATCCTCAAGTCTCTAGAAGGCCATGGGTTATTCATGACACAGAGCTGTTTTTCTTTACTCTTCCAAGGCCTCTCCTGCCCCCAGCCAGGCCACTGGGTCCATCCTGGCCATAGGCACCACGGACTGAAATCCCTACACTTCTCAGCTTCCTAGATCTGTGGCTGTAGGGCTTGGCTGCCCCATCAGGCTAGGCAGGACCTTGGAGATCCTGCATTCACCTCTGCTGTACCACATGGTCTCGAGGCTCAGCGAATGCCCAAGTAGTCGGGCCATGCCTTGTGATGGCTAGGTGAGTTTAGAATCTCCCTCTCACCTAACACCAGCCTTATTTTGGCACTTAGTGGCCATGATGGGGTCAGGAGGAATGACTATCATTAGAAGGAGATAATCAGTACCTTGGTGGACGGTCATGTCCATCCAGCCGAAGCCCTCCTGCTGGAAGCCATTCATGTCTTCGGTGAAGGGGTAGCCAGCCTGATGTGCAGCCTGCAGAAAGGCCTGGTGAAGGGGGTGGTTGGTCTTGCCCCGAGACACGTGCAGTGGGCCGTCCCCACCGCGGTACCTGTTGGGTCCCAGCTCATGTCTCTGTGCCTTGCGGAAGTAGGGCAGGCAGTGTGCATAGTCCCAGCCCTCAGCACCTTGGGAGTGCCAGCGGTTATAGTCCTCGGCGTGACCACGGATGTAGACCATGGCGTTGAGGGATGAGGATCCCCCCCAGACGCGGCCTCGTGGCCAGTATAATACACGGCCGTCCAGGCCTGGCTGTGCCTCAGTGTGGTAGTACCAGTTGTACTTGTCATCACACAGGTTGGCTACAAGGGCAGCAGGCATGTGGATCTTCCACTGGAGACGCTTGCTCCCCATCACCACGTCCTTAGGACCTGCCTCTAGCAGCAGCACCCGGTGGTTCGGGTCCTCAGTGAGCCGGTTGGCGAGCACACAGCCAGCAGAGCCTGCACCCACCACCACAAAGCTGTACTCATCCTGGCCCACAGAGGCAGCGCTGGCCACAGCACGGCCACAGGGGTGCCATGACTGGCCCAGCACAGCCCATGCCAGGGCTCCACGTGGACTCACACGTCCTCTCTTCCAGCCTCTAAGGACGGGCCACATGCTTCCAGCCCAGTTCCTCTTTATCCACGGACAGGAGTGGGAAGACTCTCTTTTCCTAGAACAGGAAAAACAACACTCTAAACTTCATAGTACACGCAGAAGCAGCCTGGAGCTCGGTGGTCATGCTGGCACACCGAAGGACCTGCCTCACTTGGGCAAGGTGGTTTACATGTGATAGGCATTACCCTGGGGAGCTAGAACCTGGGGTAGGAATTTCATTACAGAGATGGTAATTCAGAACTGGGGTTGGGAAGAAGGGAGGCCCTCCACAGGCTGTGGGGTGGGGGTGGGGGCGGGTGGTGCGTGTGTCTGGCCAACTTCTATGTGATATCCGCCGGAACTTGGAGGCTGGACATGTAGTAGCCCAAGGCTTTCCAGCCTGGCAGAGAGGGGGCTAACTCTTGCTACTTCAGGCAGGACATTGCATTTTCATTACAGGGATACACAGAAGAAGGAAAAAAAGTACTCTCCAGATGGAGAGTTGCAAAGTAACAAAGGGAAAGGTCAGTGAAGGTGAAGGGTGAAGACTGTGGAGTTTATAGCCCCGGGGATCCTGGGATGCACCAGGACACTGGGTCGAAGCCACCCTTCCCAAGATCACCTTGTAGAGTAGTCGAGTTAACAGAGAAATGCCAATGGCTTAAAAAATATGAGATTATAATTAAATAATTTTTCCCTTCCTTTCCTCCCTCCAATCCCCCCTGGGTACCCCACCTTGCTCTCTTTCAAAGTCATGCCTCTTTTTCTTCAATGGTTGTGATATGTAGATGTATGTGTGTACATAAACACAACCTGCACAGTTGTGTCCATAGAATGTCATTTGTATGTGCGTACCAATGACTTTTGATGGGTCCTCTCTCACCAGGGCCCCACACGCTTGGTGCAGAGGTTGAAAAGAGCCTAGGTATGCTATCGAACTCCCAGTGGCAAGATCGTCTGAAAACGCCCAACAACCTCTCGTCTACACTGAAGCTGAAAGGAAAGCTCCCCCCCCCCCCCCCCCCCCCCCCCCCCCCCCCCCCCCCCCCCCCCCCCCCCCCCGCTATTTTCAGCACAGCCTAGGTGCAGATCGTAACAAATCCCCCCAGCTTTATCAGTCCCGTATCAGGTAACGAGGGCCTGTCCTGGAAGCAGAGGCAGGGGACAGAGGGTTCTTCACCTAAGGGAGAAGAAAGTGGCACTTCTGAACACTGTGTCTGAAGTAGGAACTCTGCCAAGAGTCCCCCCCACACCCCCCAAACACCCCCCCCTCCCTCTCACTCCTGAGCTCCAGGCCCCACATCGGCACAGGGTAGCAATGGCCCAATGCTCAGCTCTCCCGTGGATGAACTAGTTCCATCCTTTGTAAGAAGACACCATTTACCCCAGTCACCATTAGCCTGTCACACACGAGTCATTATTCCCTAACAACTGGGAAACACACAAATAACGACACTCCTCACAAAGAGAGAAAGCATGCAACAGAAGCAGATCCAGTGGTGCTGGAACCATCCAACAAGGACATTACAAGAGTCAAGGTAACAGCCATTAGAAAGGGTTTTCCTTGACAAGTGGACATGTTGAACAGGATTTCAAGGAAGTTATTATGGTGATATATGGTGTACCCTAATAAACTTGCCTGAGGATCAGAGGAAAGAGCCAGCCACTAGATTAGACATAGAGGTCAGGCAGTGGTGGCACACACCTTTAATCCTATCACTCGGGAGGCAGAGATCTGGATCTCTGTGAGTTCAAGGCCACACTGGAAACAGAGCCAGGTCATGGTAGCACATATACCTTTAATCCCAGGAAGTGACGTGGCTGGGCAGAAAAAGGTATATAAGGCATGAGGAAATAGGAACTCACGCTCTTTAGACTGGGGATTTCATAGAAATAAGAACTAGTGGCTGGCTGTTCTGCTTCTCTGATCTTTGAGCTTTCACCCTGAGTTTTTTTTTTTTTTAAAGACCACCTAAGATTTGAACAACAAGTTATCAGTGGGCTGCGGGGAGGTCTCTGTGGGTGAAAGCGCTTACGTTACAAGCCTGGGGACTTGAGTTTAGTTACCAGGATCCATGTAAAGAAAAGTCAGACACAGTGTAATTACAGATTACACATCTGTAATCCCAGCACTCCTGCAGTGACATGACAGATGGAGACAGGAGAATCGCCTTGAAGACTGTGGAGTCAGCTGGCCTCGAGTACACAGAAAGGCAGAAACAAGAGAGACCCTGCCTCAAATGTATGGAAGGAGAGGTCCAACTCCCCAAAGTTGTCTTATGACCTCTGCATCGACACAGTGGCATGTGCATACCCCCCCACACCCCACTAATAAATTAATAGAAATTTGAAATGCTCGATCTTCTTTAAAAACAAAAATGCAAGAAAAAGCACAATACTAGAGATAAACAAGTTTTGATTAGATGTAACAGGAGGGAATCGACGAAGTTGAAGATTAGGTGAAGAGAAATCTCTACATGAAAATGTGGAGAGAGAAGTGAAAAGGGGCAGAGGCAAAAGAATGGGAACCTAGGAGCTTAGACCATCAAGCTCACATGGGATAAGTAGAGCCTAAGCAGTATAGCTAGACGGAAGAAAAAAAAATGGGTCAGAGCCGGGCGGTGGTGGCGCATGCCTTTAATCCCAGCACTTGGGAGGCAGAGGCAGGTGGATCTCTGTGAGTTCAAGGCCAGCCTGAGCTACAGAGTGAGTTCCAGGACAGACTCCAAAGCTACACAGAGAGACTCTGTCTCGAAAAAACAAAAAAAAAAAAAAAACAAACAAAAAAAAAACAAACAAAAAAAAAGGGGTCAGTTGCTTGAAAGATACAATGTGCCAAAATGCACACCTTATGAGAAGAAACAAGACACCAGAGTAAGCCAATATACATAATAAATAACCATAAGTAATAAATAACAACATTCCAAAACGAAATAGCAAGCCCAGAGTGATGGATTCTCAGGAAGTTCTTGCAAACACTTAAGGATGAGGATATACTGATTTTCTCCAGTCCCAGTCAGAAGAAAGAACACATCTTCACCCATTCTGCAAGGCCAGCATCACACTAATACCCAAACCAGACAAAGCACCAAAGAAAGAAAACTACAGATCAGTATCTCTTATGAAGAATGATGATTAAATATGCTGGTGTGGGCCTTACAGTGGGTCAATACAGCTGCCGGGGACAGGCAAGAAAAATCCCTCAGCTAAGTATTAGTAACTTGAATCTAAATTATTTTGTGCCAGCAAAATGGTTCAGAGAGTAAGTGTACTTGCTGTCAGGAATAACAACTTGGATTCAATTCCTGGAAACCACATTGTAGAAGGAGAGAACCATCTCCCACAAGCTGACCTCTGACCTCCACACATATGCCACGACATTCTGTCATGTACACACGCATATACACGCAAAAATAAATAAATAAATCTAAAACATTTTTAAAGTGTTATGAATCCAGT